CAAATTAAAACAGGGTTGGGACCATTCCATGTATTAGTTAGGGGGTCTCTCCATTTGACCCTGAAAAATGAGCTAGAAGTGACTGGATGCCAGTGGCGATCCGCTGTAGACTGACCTTTAGCATCAGTTTGCAGAAAATTTAAAACAAAAGCAAAAGCAAGGTGTGCTTTTGGTGACCTTGGGGGGTATAATTCCCCCTTTTTAGTTTTTGTTTGTTTGTTTGTTTGTTTGTTTGTTTTTCGAGACAGGGTTTCTCTGTGTAGCCCTGGCTGTCCTGGAACTCACTCTGTAGACCAGGCTGGCCTCAAACTCAGAAATCTGCCTGCCTCTGTCTCCCAAGTGCTGGGATTAAAGGTGTGTGCCACCACTGCCTGGCCCCTTTTTAGTTTTAATGAGCCAATTTTTTAGAGTGCGATGGACTTGCCTAACAATACAAAATAATCTCCCTAGTTCAAGGATCTTAACTTTAATTACATTTGGAAGGCCCCTTTAACTAGTACAAGTAACACAGTAGGTTCTAGAAATTAGGGTGTGAGTGTATTTGGAAAGTCATGGCTTAGTCTTCTATAGCCAGTTAGGGGATTGACTAATTAGGCAGAAAATAAGAGCTCCAGTTTTAGATCTACTGTGGCGTTTACCCTGCTCAGATTTGTGTGAACTATTCTTTTCTTTGGATATAAACTTGTTGGCTTTTGTGCAAGTTGTCTAAATTTTTAAAGATTTATGTGTATGAGTGTTTTATCTGCATGCATGTATCTGAACCATGTGCATGCATGGTATCTACAAAAGCCAGAAGAATGTGTTGGAGCCCTTGGAACTGGAGTTGTGAATGGTTGTGAGACACCATGTGTGTACTGGAAACTGAACCTAGGTTCTCTGCAAGATCAAGTGCTCTTTCTTAATCACTGAACCATCTCTCTATCCTAAGATGATTAATTTTGATTTATAAGTTTTATCAAAGATGGCAAGGATCAAGTGGCATCAAATCAATGCCTAGCCGTCAATAAAGGTTGTTTCCTTCAGGGAGAAAATGTGTAAGGAGGTAACTTAGACACAGAAATCAATGATTGTATTGGCTTCCATCTAGATGCTATAGACTTAGCTGTAGGACCTTGAACAAATTTAACCATTTGGTCTGCTTTTACATGTGGCAAAAGGAGCCATAATCTTATCTTCCTGAAGTTGTGGATAAGCCTAATATATCAATGTTTTATTATTTCAAAGCTTAACTGGTCCCAAGTGTATTTCCTGGTTTGTCCTTGGTTGTTCTGTAAGGGACTTAAGTAACTGTCTTGAAAGTAACCTTTCTTTTCAGTCCATTTGTGGGGTCTTGAGGGCAACATTGGGACAATTCTCTGAGATGGAGGCAAGTCTCTTCCTCCTTGCTCCATCATTACTATTCAGTTAGCAAGTATAACTGAAAAGGCTGAGTGACCACTGCATTGATGTAGCCAACAGCAGCCTTGCAAATGCTCTCATTGGTTTTACAACTTTAGACCCTTGCAGAGACAGGGAAAATGGGGAAGAATTGAACTAGGGTTTTTGTTTTCCAAAGTAGAAGGGGGAAAAAATGGTGAACATAAGGAAAAAAAATGCAAGGATCATAGCGCACTGGCCAAGATTGTCAAAGCAGTAAGCATCATCTAATACCCACATCCTCATGAAGCACACTAATCTAGATAGGGGCTGTCCAGCCATGTTTATTTGTTTATAAGGCTGAAGGCATTACTTCTAAATTTTAAGTTTTTAAGAGTTTAAGGTGAGAAATGACTAAAGCATCTCATGATTTCTACATGTGCTTCAGGAACGTAGCTCCATTATAGCTCAATACTTCCCAAAAACAACACAGCAAATGGCAGTTCTGCAGATGTTCTCTCAGCTCTAACTTCTGGCTGTAATGAGCACAGCTTGAGCTGTTCAAGGTTCATCTTTCCAGACTGTTTCTTTTTTTTTTTTAATTTTATTTTTTGTTGTTTGTTTTTTTGGGTTTTTTGTTTGTTTGTTTGTTTTTTGTTTGTTTTTGTTTGTTTGTTTGTTTGTTTGTTGTGGCACCACTGCCCATCCAGACTCTTTCTAAGCTACTTGCCACTTACTTATCCTAACTGAAATGGAAAAGAATTGAAGTAGTAGTGAAGGGAGAGGAAGGATGTTTGGAGCCTGGTGGTCAGGCCTTGCAAAATGCTCACACTCCAATCAACCTCAACTTGATGATAAATGTATTCAGAAGCATATGGCAGAGGAACTCACTAGTGACTAGACACAGGGGGTTGTGTAATTCCCTGTCCATTTCATTGCAAAGGCAAAGTGTTTAGATCATTTAATCTCTTCCATTCTGTGAGGTAAACTCAACTGAACTCCCAGAAGCTTTCTTTAACAGTGCTAAACCAAGTGTTACATAGTTGGCTGCAGAGATAGATAGCCCCAAGGGTGGAATTTACTAACTGTTCTTTTAAAACCATTATCACACAATTGATTTCTATAAAACAGTCACACTGAGAAAAATCAAATGTTATACAATACATTGTCTTTGAAATTAAAACACATCAAAATTAATGGGTGCTGAATATAATTTTGCTGTTGGGTACTTTTCTTCAGTTCTAAAGTCAGTAAGGGGCTTTATAACTCAGTGGGAAAGTGCTTATTTAGCATGCTCAAAGTCCTGGTTTCTATTGTCAGCATGGCAAAATGGAAAAAAAAAGCAAGCATATTGAAAATTTTGATCTTTCAGGGAAAAAACCTGGGACTGTGCATCAGCTGGCTTGCTCTCTACATTTAAACATTTCTTTAACACAGACAAATGTTCACCTCCTCCTGGAAATGTATACATGCTTATAAACCCAATAGCTTTTGTTGGCTGTAACAGAGTATATATTTGTAGTTTAAATTCTTCAGAATGAATTACCAGAATGAATTACATTAACAAGCAAGTGAGGTGGGCAGAGGAAGAAATGATCATTTTATCTATCTTTCACTACTGATTTACTTAATGACCTTTGACAACTTGAAAATGTTTACCACATACAAAGTCCTGCCATGAGACCATATAAACCTGATTATAAGACAGATTCCCAGAGCTCTGTGTAGAATGAGTATTATAAACAATAGTCTGGTGTATCCTGTCACTTTAGATAGGCTACATGTCCCTGGCTATTTTAAATGATGATTTTAAAGTCTTTTCTTACTGGCCTGATGAAATTATGGTTTCTGGGCAAAGTACAAAGGGTTTCCTTTGATTTCTGGTATTGACCCGAATTGTGAATGTGTGCTTTTCATTTTCTTGAGACAGGGTCTTATTATGTAGCCCATGCTGTTCTAGAAATTGTTTTTCTGTCTCAGCCTCCTGTCTCAGCCTCCTACTGGGTTGCTAGACATGTGTCATCATACTCAGATGATTTGTGCCTCTAAACATTCAATTCTTCCTCCCCAAACCCCACTTCAGTTTTTGTCCTTCATTTGTATGATTCTTTAACACACAGTAAATTCATCAATATAAAAAAAAATCAGTATGCCAGAGTAGAAAATTATCACACTGACAGAGGTTAACAGTTTTCATAATTTAATGAAAAAGTATTGATAAAAAGGTGACATTTGAAAAAAGATTGAGTTCACCTTCAAAACTTGTATAAGACAAGACAAAAAACATTAACAAAGGTTAAGAGGTAATACTTCAAAGAACAAAATGTAGCAGATACTTGGGGATTTGGAATGTATACAACGGAAGGCTGGCTCATTTATTTACCCAGAAAGTTCTCTAAGAAGAAATTACCATTTTATCTCCCTGACGTGAATATTTCAGGCAATACTCTCCCAATGGCATTACATACGGAATTTGGCTAAAGAACTGTTTCCATGTTTGCTTCCCCCCCTCACTCAGAATTCAAAAGCATGAAAGGATACAGGCAACCTGTTGGCCTTTAAGGAATTTACAACTCAGCTTCATTATACTCTCATTACCACAAAAGAGTCAAATTTATATGTACCCTATGAGCATTCAAATAAGCACAGAAGCTGAGGGTATGAAGAAAGGAAATTTTCTTCCTTATTTTTTCAGCTAAAACAAATTACAGGACACCTACTATTCATGTTATGGTATGTTCACACATGTTCATAGGCACAAAAGGAATATTTTGAAGATGCAGCCAAAATACACAAGTTTTTCAAAACAGTAGGAAAAAAAAAACCAAAGAAGCGTTTAATGAGGCTCTAAGAATGAAAGTGAAGGAGAGGCAAACTGCAGAGTTTTCTAGCTCCATAGCATTGGCTAGAGGGCTACTGCCCTCTCACTGGCACCTACTGCAGCTGGCTTCTTTCACCAGCATGAAACTTCAGAAATTGAAAATGACCTCTTGTTTGAAAATTCTCTCTATATGTTCCCGAACTAGAAGAAAGAGAATATTATTTTAAGGCTAAGAAGAAAAGGGAGCTGAGAATTACAGTCTGCCTCACATTTTTACAAACTGTTACTTTCTCCTTTTTCTTAAATGGGAAGCAGACTTGTTTTATCCTCTGCATCAAAATTCTCTTCGTCTAGAAATGAATCAAGGCTGATTATTTGGTAATGTGGTATAAGCAAGTTCTGAAAAATGGCTCCAACTTTTATGCTTGGGAAACTGCCTTGGATTTAACATTCATACAAAGCTAAATTATATCCATGTGTTAAACACATGCTTTCAAATTTCTGACAATAAAAATCTGTTTCAAAATTAAAGCAGGTAAGAATACTTAAGCCTCTGTGCATTACACTATATCTTAATTATTCCTCAATAAAATTTTTATAAACATTAAAGCAGGTATACAAAAACTGTCAGCCAAACTTTAGTCAAACTTATTTGAAAACAACACAAAAACCCCTGACCTGGTACAAATATACCAGAAAAGGTCACACTTTGGGAAATGTTCTGGACATCTTCACAAATGCCTTGAGAAGCAGAGCATTTTCCTTGGAAGTAGTACTTCTGTACTTTTGTAAACACTATCCACAAGTTAGCTTGTTACTGGATAAGAGAGTTATGAGTGTGTCCCCAAGAAGCAGGTCTAGGAACAGGCACTGGACACTTAGAAGAAATGACTTTGTAAGATATGATACTGTGAAAGAAACTCAACCTTGCATGAAGCAAGGAAGACAACAGTAAGTGTCAGTATCTGAGAATGTTGCTCTCCTGGTCTCTTTCTTGAAGAGGTTTTATAGATACCAGTGGAATTAGAAACTTTCTACAGATTTGAGCTTCAAGGAGTCACATGTTATAGTTTCAAAAGATAAGTAGTTTTAGTGTCTGTCATATCCTCTTGCAAATCCATTGACAATGAAAGGATTCTTAATACATAGATTAATCAGTGTGTTAATGTAATGGGAAAGCTGCCCTGAAGTACTCAAATACTCTGGGCCTAACTGTTCTCAGCAGCCTCCGAAAAAGCAACCCCAGACAATCTGCAACTCTTGTAATGTGCTTATAAAAACTAGACCTGAAACGCTTTCAATAACTTCAAACCATCATTTTCCCTGCAATTCCCCCTAATATACACTAGAATCCTTTTGGTGTTTAGATTTCCCCCAGTATACGGGGCAAAGGCAAAGGCTGGGTTACCCTTAGGAGTTTCTGATCACCTTTGCATTGAGCTATGGGAATGAGGTTGTGTCTTGGTTTTCCCATGGCACTCTCGAGCAGAATCATGGGAAGGATTTTCTCTGTCAGAACTCTCTCTCTTTACCCTTGCTGTTTCTTTATTCCCCTCCCCTTCTGCCTCTGAATCACTGGGCTCCAAGTCAGGGCAATAACCATCGGTTTCCTGATACGAAGCTCTCCCTGTGGACCGCCTGAGAAGCTGTCTACCCCACAATTGCTCCTTAGAGCTCACATTCTTAGCTGGCTTAACACAGTACTGGAGGTCCTCAGTAGGCTTCACCCATGTATTGGTGGCCTCCTTAAAGGACCTGGTGAAATGTTCCATGCCAGATTTTCTAATGTTGCCTGGGCTGGGCAAGTGGGAGCTGAGCATGGACTCCTGGTCACAGCATATCTCACCTGAACTAACTTTCTGGGTGATGTTCCCAGACCAGTTGCCCTCCAGGCCATTGGAACTAGCAAGCCTGGAGTTAGGCTGACTCTTCCCATTACCAACAGAATCCTGTCCATGGAGGGCAGCCTGAAGGGCCAGAGGCTTCCCTAATGATTGCCCATGATAGAATTCTGTAGATGGAGCTCTCCGAGTAGGACTGGAGCTCCTGGTTTCACTTCGAGCATGGCTTCGGCTAGGCAGCAAACAGTTACTTTTGCTTTCTAGTGGATATCTTGGATATATTTTCACATTCATATCCAGTGGCTCCTCGGTCATCTGGGGGCTCCTTTTACTGTGACAAGGGGAGCTGCTGCCAGGAGACGAGGGTTGTTGTTCAGTTTCTGTGGAGCTGTCTCTGCCATCTTCTGAGGTTGATTTAGGCATTTTTAACTTTAAGGTAATTCGTGGTGGTGGGTAAAACAGTGAGTTCTCTAGTGCATTTGTCAAAGAAAGTTCTGAGATAAAAAAAAAGAAAGATTTGTTTAACAACCAATTTAATTGTTAGCACAAAGTGAGTTCACAAACCTATTGTTCCAAATGTCTAATAAGCATCTGTCTTTGATGAGCAAGTATACCACGGTGAGTAGCTAAAGTGAGCTGTAATAGAGGATGAACCTAGAGACTCACAGAAAACACTATCCATGGCTCCTATCCTTTTCACCTTTGCTTTCCTAACCTACAAAACAAGATCAACAACCAGTGTGCTCTGTCATACATCCTTGCTTCCATGTCTTTCAGTTTTTTTGTGTATGTATTGGTGCAATTGTACACATGTACATGCATGTGGATGCCAGAGGTTGATGCTGGTTGTTTTTTTTTTTTCTGAGACAGGGTTTCTCTGTGTAGCCCTGGCTGTCCTGGAACTCACTCTGTAGACCAGGCTGGCCTCGAACTCAGAAATCCACCTGTCTCTGCCTCCCAAGTGCTGGGATTAAAGGCGTGTGCCACCACCGCCCGGCATGATGTTTTCTTCAATCATTCCACTACCTTATTCTTTTCATTAAACTATTGTATTTATTTACATTCCAAATGTTGCCCCCTTCCCGGTCCCCCATCCCAGAGTTCTTCAACCCATCCCTCTCTATCATATTTTTTGAGACAGAGTTTTTTCTGAACCCTGAGCTCATTAATTGCTGAGACTAGCATACTTGTGGGATCCCCGTTTCTCCACCTAACCAGTGCTGGAATCACGTCACAAAGGTGTGCATCACACAGGCTTTTTATTTGAACTCACCAACAGAGCTCTTCCCCTAGACTTTCCCTTGGATTTCATTTCTATAAAGAATGTCACTCACAGTGGTTTGAAATGAGTTCTTCGTGTGTTTATGATTGGGTATATACATAATGAGCAGGAGTGAAGATATGCCTCATAGATGTTTCTGATCTTATTCTCCTATCATCTCTGGGTATTCCCAAACAATTCAAAAAGAAAATTTTAGAAACACAGTATAGATTTTGTGGGGCAAAGGTAAGTATTTTAACTTGGCATTAGAAGCAGTGAATGGCTCTTGAATATTTTATGCCCTTCATCTCTAGTTTCATGATTACAAACAATTATGGGGTGTAGAATAATATTAAAAAGATTACTGGAGCAATGTATGGGCACAATAGTATGTGTGTAGCGGAAGATGACAATTTTATGGAGTCAATCGTTTCCTTCCAACATATGTGTGTGTGTGTGTGTGTGTGTGTGTGTGTGTGTGTGTGTGTGTGTGTGT